GAGGCCGCTACGGCGAGGGCGCGGCGCAGGAGCGTTTCCAGCACGCCCTGTCCCTGGTCTTCATCCAGTGCGTTATCAACGCCGCCTTCGCCAAGCTCCGTGAGTGCCCCCGGCCCTGGCGCCGCGGCTCTGCCGGGCTGCTGGCCGCCTGCAGCTGCTTGGACTCTCTCCTTCTCTCTCTCTCTTCTTTCTAGTGATCCGGTTTTTTGACTCGGTCAAGGTGGACCGGACGCGGAACTGGCTGTACGCGGCTTGCTCGCTCTCCTATCTGGGCGCGATGGTTTCCAGCAACTCAGCTCTGCAGTTTGTCAACTATCCGACTCAGGTGAAGAAGCGCAGGCTGCAGAGGCGTGAATGAGAGAGAGGGCAAGAAGGAGAAGGCGTTAAACTTACAGCTCTTGCTTTTCTGATGCTTGGGGTGCTTACGTGCCCTGGAACCGCTGCGCCGAGGAAGTTCTTGCTACGCGAGAACAAGCCGCTAATAATTAGCAGGAGGGAGCTGTGATTTTGGCGCTCATCTTTCTAAGGCTGCCTTTGTGGGGCCATGACCTGTCACTTTGCTTCCTCCAGCAGCCCTGTGTGTCATAGAGATGGCTTAAGAGAGTCGAAGTTATTCCAGAAAAGCAATAACAGTACCTGGAAGCGGTAGACATTAGGAAGGGGGGGTTGGCACTTAATGTGTGCAGGCTTGGGACAGTATCTGAAACTTCCCGGACAGTTGCTGGAGCGGTCTCCCCACTGTGGGTCCTTGTTCTTGTGTTCTGGAGCCTCTGGTATGTTTTACCAGAGATGGGTATCAGGGTGGTCTGATCCGGTACGGTTACCCTTGGTTTCCCTGATCTCTTTGCTTGTTGTCAGCAAGCGATGGTGCGCAGTTAGTTAAGGTATTCTTTCTTTTACAGGTCCTGGGCAAATCTTGTAAGCCCATCCCAGGTAAGCAGTCTTCACGTATCTTCCTGTATACTTGCGTGGGTTTCTCATACCCTGAACCAGTCCATGGACCTAATTTTTAAAAACAGTATCTCTCTTTTTCTGTCTTTTCTGCTGCAAGAAGAGCAAGCAGTGCAGTATGCACCTAGTTTTTTGCTGGGCAAAGTTAAATTCCCGTGAGAGGCTTTTGGAGGTAGTTCACGATGTTGCTTCTTCTTTACAGTCATGCTTTTAGGAGTGACTTTGCTGCGGAAGAAGTATCCACTGGCCAAATATCTCTGCGTCCTCTTGATAGTCACAGGCGTGGCCCTGTTCATGTATAAGCCTAAAAAGGGGGCTGGAAGCGATGACCACGTCTTTGGCTATGGAGAGCTCCTTCTAGTGAGTACTGCCAAAGTACGAACGTCCCAGGGGCTGCGTTGGTGGCCGGTCTGATGACGAAAAAGCAGTTGTGATACCGGTCTGGCTGTGTCTTTTGTATAGCAAGCATGCTTTAAAGCTGGTATTAAAACACGGACGCGTCGTTGGTTTGAGGCATGCGCTCTCAAGCTGTGGCAGGGGATCAGTGCATGAGTACGCACGCGTCTCTCCTAGCATAGGTTTTGAGGCTGCATAATTGCTATTTAACAGCTGATTGAAACGCAGAGGAAAAAAAGGGGGTGCTTCCAAGGTGTTCCCCAGAAGGAAGAAGTAATGAAGATTTTCTTTGCTCTTCTGTTATCTCTCTCTCCCCAACCCCCCTGTCCCCCTTTAGCTGCTGTCTCTGACTTTGGATGGACTGACTGGTGTATCTCAGGACCACATGAGAGCTCACTACCAAACTGGCTCCAATCACATGATGTTAAACGTTAACCTGTGGTCCACCTTGTTCCTAGGGGCTGGTAAGGAAGAGCCTACGAAAGCACAGCCACCGAGCCCTGAGGCTGCTGTGTGACACCCTGTGGGAAGAGACATCGTGTCCCGTTCTGAAAAGGGCCTAGAACGTGTTCTGTGCACAGTTATAGTTTTGCATTTATTTGTTGTTTTTTTTTTTTTCTTTACATGAAAGTCTTTGGTCAGTGTAGCTCTTCTCATGCCCGCTAGAGGACACTGCTCCACGTACAGTTTAGTTACCCAAAGCCTGTTCACTTCTGAAAAGTTCTTGCTTGCGTGTGCTGGCTCTGTGATCCAGACATAAGCACCTGGGTTTTGACCTGTTGGCCCTCCTGTTTTGGTGCAGAAGCAAGCCCTGTCACCGTAGCTCCCTGCTCCAGAGAAGGAGTAGTACTTCTAATTAATTGCTTGGGACTGTTTTGTCGGAATTGGAGATGCACATAATGCTGCTTTCATTAGTTGTTGAGGAAGGTGATCTTTTTTCATCTGTCTTGTCGGGGGGGGGGTTATTTGTTTGTTTAATAATTTTCCTTTGGTGGAAGGTGCATGCCTAACACACACAAGCGTTGTTGTGTTCTGCTGGGGCACCTGCTTCTTCCCTTTTATTTTGGCTTCAGCCAGTAAGTGGTACTGTGAGGGAGAGACGCTGCAAAACTGGCAGGAAAGGGGGGCTTTGTCACTCTGAGGGGCTTTGTTTGTTTTTTCTTTCATGTGACAAGATCGCTGTCAGGGAAAGCTCACTGCTTGCCACCAGCCTTCGCTGGGTAGAGTTTAGCCTTTGTCAGGTATTGAATGTACTGGAATTACCTTACATAGGCAGTGGCTACTCACGCTGTTTCTGGGCTGATAAATCACGCTTCTCATTTTAATCTTCTAGGGATACTGTTCACTGGAGAGCTCTGGGAGTTCTTGAGTTTTGCTGAACGCTACCCTAGCATCCTTTACAATATCCTGTTGTTTGGCCTGACAAGTGCACTGGGTCAAGTAAGTACGTTTTCATTCCCTATTCTGCAGTCTTAATTGAGATTTGCTTGCATAGTTAAAAGATGGAAAAGTAAAGCTGTCCCACCTTCTCTTGCTCTGGTTGTTGCTTACTTTCTGTGCAGGCTACCTACAAGATTAAAGTTGGTTTAAACTTGTATGCCAATAATCAAGATTTGGGATAGACTTTTATGGCTAGGACTGAGTAATTTTCCTGCAAAAAAACAAAAACATGAAGATATGTGGTGTACTTCTTCCAGGCAGAGTGACGAAACTTTTTTTTTTTTTTTCCTCCAGAGTTTCATTTTCATGACTGTCGTATACTTTGGACCTCTGACCTGTTCCATCATCACCACAACGCGGAAGTTCTTCACCATTTTAGCATCCGTCATTCTATTTGCTAATCCCATCAGCACCATGCAGTGGGTGGGGACCGTCCTGGTGTTCTTGGGTAAGTCTGGGAAGAAAACATCTGAAGTCTTTTCCCCCGTTAACTTACAGAGAGATGATGTGTAGAGAGGGGAGCGCTAACAAAAGATGCTAGTCAAAAAACCTAATTGTATTAGAACACGCTTGATGGAAAAGTGTCTTAATAGCCTTACTGGAGCAGAAGAGGGACTTCTGGCAGATTCTCTTTTTTATCTTTTTTTTTTTTTTTTAAACACTTGGTAAGATAAGTCACTGCCACTCAGCGACCGTTAGTAAGTTGGTATTGTTAAGCCTATTTTCATATAGTCCCTTGCATTATGTTTGTTTGAAGACTGTGAATTTGCCATGCACATGGATTATTTTATTTCTTTGCAGGCCTTGGACTTGATGCCAAATTTGGAAAGGGAGTGAAGAAGACATCCCGTTGAAGAGATGTTTGAACTCTGCAGTTGGAATGAACTTTTAATTTATTGTCTTGTACCTCAAAATCTGTTATGAAACTGGACTCAGGATGGGAAATTAGAAGGGGAGCGTTTGGATTTTTTTTTTTTCTAGTTTTTTTAATTCTGAATTGTCTTAAAGTGTAATACTTTTGTTTTAAATGTAATCAAATGTTTACTTTTTTTTCCTGTAATCAAAGCTGCATTACTAGATTCTAGCAGCAGGATGAAATCCTTGCCTTAAGAGGAGCAAAGGCTACATATCTTTATTAAAGAAAAGGAGACAACGGCCATTTTTCCAGAACTTTAATTTCAGTACAGCTGACTGATCTTGGGGAGAAACTGTCTTTGGATCTTGCAGCATTCTCTTTTGAATCTGCTTCGTGCAAACAGCACACCTTGCTCCAAGGAGAGGGCTAGTCTTAGAATACTTTGTTTCAGTGTGTTTGGCATAGCCTGGAAGGACCTCAGGATTAAGTGCCTGTGACGAAGACAGAGCCCCCTTCTTCTGATTTGTATGGTTTTCCATAACCGAGAACGGGCTGGTGGAGCAGCCAGTCGGACATTCTCCCATTAAGGTAATATGTGTAAACATTGAGTTGCATTATATGCTTCACCTGATCCCTTCTAAAACCGAAATAACTCTTGGCATATGTAAAAGTTTACAGGACCAAATTAATTCTTTTCATCCCCCCTGCTGCTGAAGGAACAAGACCCTCTGCTGCTAAAGCCATGCCAAGGTTGTGTGACAACAGCTTCTAAATGTTGAAAGGGGCCTTGTTAATTAACCACCATCACCGAGAGCCTTGGAGCGCCTGCTCCCGAGTGCACCCGCTAGCTCCCCAGTGTTGTAGGGGAGGAGTTACTATCATAACGATGCCTTCAGAGTTGGAGAGCAAAATTCTCCAAAGAGCAAACTTTACACATGAAAGCATGTTTCTACCAGCTGTCGCTTGGTCTCCATCTGTTCTGCGGCTTTGGCCTTTTGCCCCTCCAGATGGGATCTTGATCTCTTTCCTGAGCGGCTGTTGTAAGTCTCTTTCTCTAGCTCCCCCCTCGCCCACCCTTCCAGTGTTTTTTACAACTTTTTTGGCCTCAAATTTGGTTTTGATTTTAATCTTTATCCCATAGCTCTACTCAAAAAATGTGGCTTTTGCACAATTAAACCTGAGGATATTGAAATTTACCTAGACGGGTTTTTTTCTGTCACCTTCGCCTCTTTGCTAACTTTTATTGTCTTAAAGGTCAAGTGATAAGTAGCAAGCAAATATATTCTCTGTAGCAGAGAATCCTGAAGTAAAAGCTTCTGTCACTTAATTCCACTAATCCTGCCTGGTGAATGCCATGTGCTGGCATCTGCTACTGTACGGAGATTCCTACTTCTCTGAAGATAGAGGTACTGGGAAGGATAATTCGAAGGTGACAAATACTATTTCTGTTTTATAAGAAGGAATGGAGAAATTGCATGACTTGTTCATAAATATTGTGGCAGACATGGGGATTGATTTTTCTTTGTTGTGTCTTAATCCTGAAAGCATCCTTTCCCTGTGTTTAAAATACTTAGTGCTAAGAGACAGAGGCGTGTATCTGAAATCTAACCAGTTCCCAAACTCAGTAACCAAAAGCAGCAAACAGATTCTAGGTCGGCTCTCAGTTCTATGAGTTTAACAGACTTGCTTTCTCGTCTATTAAATTAGTAATGTCATGTAGGAATAGACCCAGGTACCCCTGTCATTCACATTCAAATAGCTGAAAAAAATGCACTTACTCCCTTTACCATCCACCTCCTCATGGTCATCATGAACTTCCTGTTCAAACATATCACCTGTTAAAAATATTTGAGTCATTGCTGTTCTGAGTTATAACTTTGTTCCAGAGCACATGCAAAGAAAACCAAAGGGAAATCTCTCTACTTTGATTGTTTTAGCAGTAATTATATCGTGACTAAAGCTCTCTCTAGAAAGTATATGATCACAAACTGAGGGACTGAGAGATTAGCAGTCTTTCTCCACTACACTGTCCGTCAGTTATAGACGATCTCCTCTTTACTTGCAGCATCTCAAGTGAAGCTGCCTCTTGAGGACTGGGTAGGGGCAGGTTACTTCAAGCTGCTTCTCTGTATAGGCTGGGAAGGTTGCTCCTCCTGAACTCTCCCTTCTCGCCAAGTCTAGCTGCATCTCCAGGAGAGAGAGAGAGAGAGAGAGAGAGAGAGGTTCTTAAAAGAGTATGAAACAGTATGAAAGCTTGGTGTTGCTAATTCTTTCCTTAACCATTGAAATGAAACCACCATAAGTTCAAGGGAACTTTTCCTCAAGCTCACAGGTCTGTGTCCCGCCCTGCGCTGCAGCAGCCTGGAGGACCAGCAGAAAGGAAAAAGTTGGGAGCTTCCTATGGCCTATTTTCTAAGGCAAGATGTGGCTTTACCAATATCTTCCACTTGTTTGTATTCAGAGCACAGATTTAAGGATCAGTCTGCCAAGAGGAAAGAAAATAAAGGAACTGCAGTTTTTTCTCTACCCTGATTGCTGCAGGCTCCCTTGACCCACTTTAGCTCTAAAGCCTATTCCTGGTATTGCTCCAGCTTGGTTCTTGCTTCACCTCCAACTCTTATTCAATCAGAATTTCTTAAAAGCTTTCTCTTGTGTCTACCCAGAGTCAGAACCCTTTGGATTTCCTTGGACAGCTTGCTGTCTTTTGTCCAGACCTCATGTGCTGTGAGATCCCAGAGGAGCCTACAAAAGCAATTCAAGAAGCTACGTTCAAATCAGCACTGGCTTTTCTTCTTGGATGATGCCACAAAACAGGCCCCCGGCTTTGAGCTGCCAGGAGCACTGCTGCAATGTCTCCCTGCCTTGACAGACTCATTACCCCACTGTGAGAGGCTTGCCTGGTGGCTTTTGGTAGGCATTGCTGCTTGAGTTGAGCTGTCCCTGTGTAAGCAAAGAGCAGTACCACAGGTAAACTCTAAAGGAACTCGGTTTAGTATCTAATAAGATTTTCCTCCTCTGTATTACTTTTTTCCTATTAGAAATGTAAGCTCCTTCAGTCAGGCGCTTCCTTGCATAGGGATAATTAGATTTAATGTTTTCTTGGGTTCGCTCTTTTTTCTAAACAGTGCAAGTGTCTTCAATCAGATGCAGTGCAGTTCTGTTAAAATGTCAGGAAAGGCCTTCTGTCTTAGAGGTAATAGAGATTAATAGTCTGCAAAGTGTAGAGGGAATTTATTCTCTCTATGATTTAGAAATTGAATAAAATGTAGGGTATGGCTGTGCAAAGGAATCTTTAACTTAACTACTGCTGGCAAGTTATATTTTTCATATTCAAAGAAGGAAGAGTTATGTGGTAGCATCTGCACCTATAAGCAGTTCAGAGGTTTTAGGGAGTAAAGTACAGTACCCAGATGTTCTCTCCCAGCGGTTGGCCCTTTAGCAGCTTGAGGCTTGGCCAGTTCTGCTGGGACTCGGGTTGTGTCTGTCTTTGCTTTTTTTAAGACATCTGCAGTTGGTCAGAAGGGTATAAACCTAGTTCAATAAAAATCACTGTCTTACTCTCTTTAGTTCTGTGTGCTTGATCTGTCCCTTTTTTCCTTTCCTCAGCTGCAAGCAAGCAACAATTTTATTGTGGTAGTGAAGTATTTTCCAAAACGACCAGTTTTCTTATGGTGTAAAACAGTGCTCTTTGCAGCCAACCTTGCAGATACTTTGAATGCTTGCTGTGTAATCTCGGCTTTTGAGTTTGGGCTGACCTGTCAAGGGAACTACTAAAGGGAATGCTTGTGGTTTGACTCCTTTGCACATGTGACTGACCTTCTATTGAGTAGAAATAGGAAGAGAAAGCCATGAAATAGGAGGTAAACTTAATAAGTGACTTAAACAAAACCTCCGAGTGCAAAACATGAGGGTCAGGCTGACAAGTTATGAGGTGGCTCCATCTTTTATCTTCTTCTCGATGGGTCCAGAGGTGCCCTGAGGCATCTGTCCATTTATGACTCAGCAAGTTACCAGCAGAGGGAACTCTTATTTCAATCGTTTTCAAGAAATACAAGAAGAAAAACAACAAAAAGCAGTTTCTGTCTAATTAGTGATAGAATTGACTTGAGTCTTCATGCTTACAGTAGAAACGTAATGTCGAAATCAAGGTCTTCCTCCATTTTGGTTCCACTTCAATCCTTTTTGACCATCAGCACAGACTACGTTGAAGCTAAGTCGTTAGAAGCTTTAAGACAGTCACTGTCTCTTTAGCAGGATGGTCCTTCATTAGAAATAGCATGTGTATAAATATGTATGTGCACACCTGCATGTCCTCTTGTCCTCATATAACACAAACAGCTGCTCTCATGCACAGCAGCAGCCATAGGCATCACAGTCAATGTTTTTGAAGGCATTTCTGCCAGAATCCTCCCAGGAACCTTGTCAGTTTTTGGTGGTTCCAGGGAGATGAGAAGAGTCATGCACATACTGAGAATAAACAGCAGATTATATTGCTGCACTGTTTGTGCCTGTTGTCCCTCCAGGAGGAACTGGTTGATGCATCAGCTAAGAAAGGCGAAGTTTTATTTCATAGCTAACTGAGACATGGCATCCGCAGGGAGAGAACTTGGCAGCTGCTTTCTTTTTTCTTTCATCTTCCTTGTCTTTACTAGCTCCCTCTGCAACTCCATCAACAGATGTTAAAAATATAAAATGTTTAGAGAGCATATAGAATAAGGTAGGTGGTACTGTATGTGCACGTATTTTGTAGGGGTACATATAATTGTGCAACACATAATTTTCTGATCACGGGATAGTAAAGACTCATGCTCAGATGACAACAGTTTAAGGGATAAGGAAGTCATCGGTACTGCTTTGTAATCAATGAGTTATCAATCTTAAAGCTACCACGTCTTTAAAAAAAACGTTCATTCCTCAAAAACAATGAGGATTTGTGCTTTGCCACTCAGCTTTAAAAGAGTCAGAGTCCCCAGCATGATATTCTTTTTAATAGGTTTGATTCTTAAGACAGTCCAAGGTGCATCCCCTTTAGGGTTTCTCCCTGCAAGGCTACAAAATGAGTAGTTATTTAATAACAGATGGCTAAAATTCTGCCTCTACAGCTAAGCAAGCCTAGAATAGGTACCTTCACTCTGAGCCTGGGCTTTGCTCTAAACCCACCTTTGTATCATGAAGTCACAAGCCTGTACTTCAAACCCTGGAGGAAAAAGTACAGGCCCAAATGCCCACCCATATGCAGAAAAGAATACGTGAGCTCATCTTGCAGGATTTCATACGCTCTTTGGAAGGAAACAATTCCTGTCCGTTTCCGCCGAATGAAAGCACCCGTGATAATTAAGACAGCACCCATAGGGGAAAACACATGCAAGTTTCAGAGTCCCACTTCATCACATAATAAGTTTATGCTGCCTGCAAGTAGGAAAAAGCTTGTAAGGGATAGGATATGCATTTGAAATATATGCTCTTATAATAAGCAGTTTCGTAATCAGATTTATAGTTCATAACTAATAGAATTTCAGCAACAGTGAGCCAGGGATGCATTTAAAGAACAGGCAAAACGGAGATAATTACCTCAGACTGAAACTGAGACAGCTGGATGTCACACTGGAATGAGGTGTTTTAAGGTTTAAAATATTTTAAAGAAAAATTAAGACTGCACTTAAGGCTTCAAATTTAAAACAGCAAAAAAAGTCGTAAGGACGTTTTTCCTTTCTCTCGCTATGCTTTTCTGCAATGCTTGCACTGTCACTCTCTTTTTGTATATGTATACGCATATATGATCCTGAATATACTTTTAATATTTCTTTTCTATCATCACAGTTCCGTTACTTTGGTAAGCTAATAGCCTATTTCCGGAATTTTTATGAGCAATTAACCTAGTTTAAAAAGAAAAATGCTTAGAAGGCACAATGTGGTTCTCATACCCAGTATAGCACGTGTTGAAATATTGACACATTCAGTAGAGATGTTTTGCTGTAAGAACGCAAAAAAACCCCGTCAGATTTGTGTTTTTTTCCTGCAAGCAGGTTCAAGGCTTTGACTGGGTTTTCAGCTCTCCCAAGAGTAGCACGGACGTACAGCGTGGGGCATTCCCAAGAGCAGTTCTATTAGCACAGAGCAGATGCTTGAGGATGCCATAAAAATGAAAACCCAACCAGGTCCGTCACGGAAACATTGCACTACTTGGCATGAGGAC